TAGTCGTATCATCCCATCAGTCATTTGCTCTGTCCCCTTTTGAGAGTGTATTTTTCACAGTTAGGGCACATCCTGTTCCTGTGGTTCAGGCTTTCCAGTATTTCATGTATCTTTCCAAACTGTTTTGTCTTCCTCATTCTCAATTTTAGAGACATTGGCACGTTTCGTTATGTTTGACAGACTGTGACTTATTCAGCTGCTGAATGTTTGGGCTCTTTGCAGTTATTTGACATTAGCAATCTCTCTCTCACTCTCACTCTCTCACTCATACACACACACACAAACACACACACACACACAAACACACACACACACACACGATTTTTAAAATTTTTTCTTTTTTCCTTTTTAAGGAACTAATTTATTAAGCCTTCATAGGTAACCATGTAGTAGGTTGTAGTCTTGCAATGTACAAATAACGGTGACTTAGAGTTATTTCATAGTCTCTTCTTTGAGCAAAGTTTACATCATTTGTGACTAACGTGCAAGCCCACAGCCTGCCCACTGCTGTGTTCATTGGTTTATATTGACAAAATACTGCCTTTCCCGCGACTTTGCTCCTCCAGCCTCAGCTGCGATCCAGTGTGCCACGGTGTCAGGGAGGCAGAAGTTTTGGGTAATACCCTTAGCTGCCACCAGGGGCACTCGAAGTTTTAGTTGGTGTGAGTTACGTAGTTGTCTAAATTATTGATCTAATTTATTGATTAAACAAATTATCCAAATGATTTTATGATGATCTAAACTTTTGTCCCCCCATTCTACTTCAAGAGCTCGACTGATATTTTGGTTTTGATGCAGAGGATGTGGAAGGTTTTTGTTTGTGATATGTATCTCTGTACTTGAATTTTTAAGCTTTTTTTTTTTTAAAGGCAGTTGGGGTTAAATGACTTGCCCAAGGTCACTCATCTAGTAAGTGTCAAGTGTTTGGTCTGAGGGCGGATTTGAACTCAGGTCCTCCTGACTTCAGGGCCGGTGCTCTATCCACTGGGCCACCTGGCTGCACTTACTCTTTACTCTGAATACTTACAGCATTGTCTATATGATGATCCCTTCCAGTATTTCCCTGCCTCAGTTAGAAGGTTACTGATATATGATGGTCATGATGAAAACTACCATCATCCCCGACTGCACAGCCTTCTGGGGATGAGTGTTTAGCCAGCCTGATACTCAGATGACAGGCATCCGGTTTATTTCTGGGACTGCCTGGCTTGGTCTGACTTTCTTTATTTTTCTTTCTTCTTTTTATTTAATATTTTATTTTTTCCCAGTTACATGCAAAAACACTTTTTAACTTTCGTTCGTAAAACTTTCAGTTCTAGACTCTCTTCCTTTCTCCCTCCCCACCCCATCACCCTCATTAAGAAGGCAAGTAATTTGATCTAGTTTATACATGTGTAGTCATGCAGAATATTTTCATGATAGTCCTGTTGTGAAAGAAAACATAGTTGGTCTGACTTTCCAGAGCTCACATAGTTTTTTTTGTTTTGTTTTGCAACTTTTTAATGTATTTATGTAATAATTACAATAAGGATTACAATAATTTTGAATATTATAGTTTTCTTTTTTATTTTCAGAAATTCTATATATTAAAAAACATGAATTATAACTCATAGAAATTATCATCATCAAAAATAAAAATATACTGAATGCATTCTCTCTATGTAGAAGTGTGCCATGGACTTTGTTTTTTTAAAATTTTTACTTATTTTTAATTTACGGAATAAAACATGTATTTCCATAACATAGTATAATAAAAAAGATGAGTGTACATGAAACTGCAAATCTGTTATGTACAAATTACTATTCCTTTTAAATATGTAATAAAATTATCATGTACATTTTCTTCTTCCCTTCCCCTTTCCCTGCCCTAGAGATGGCTATCATTACACACAAATTATATATATATGTATATGTATGTATGTATGTATGTATGTATATGTAAAATCATTCTATTTATTAGTTCTTTCTTTGGCTGCAGATAGGATTTTCCTTCACATGTCCTTTGTCTTTAATTTGGGTATTTATAATAGTGAGAATGACCTGTTTGCTCAAAGTTGTTCTTAAAACAATATTGCCAGGGGCAGCTAGGTGGTACACTGCTAAGAGCATCAGCCCTGGAGTAGGGACCTAAGTTCAAATTGGGCCTCAGACACTTAACACTTAACTAGCTTGTGACCCTGGGCAAGTCGCTTAACCCTGATTGCCTTGCCCCCCTCACTCCCCCCAAAAAACAACACAATGAAAAAAACCCAATATTGCTGTTACTATATACAGTATTTCCCTGGTTCTGCTCATTTCGCTCTTCATTATTTCTTTTTTCTTCTTCATAATGATACTCTGTATTGTCTCATTAGTAATTACTATCATAGGATCAAAAGGCATGGTTATTTTGTGACTCTGTGTATTGTCAGGTTGCCCACCAAGCAGAATCTGCCAATGTGCACTTTAGGAAAATTGCTTTGGCATCTGAGGGGAGGGGCTGGAGGCAGGGAGAATGATTGCAGAGCTGATTCAGGGGTCCAGGTGTGAGGTGATGAGGGTCTTTGGGGTGTGAAGACAGACACAACAAAACTTAACAGTCGGAGGCGGGGCCGAGTTCAGGTGCACCTGGTGCTGGCGGAGGGAGGTACTTTCCACAGCGTAACAGGAAAGCTTGGAAGCAGAGGATGGGGAAGGCATCAAGTTCAGTGTTGGTGTTGACCTGAACATGTCTATGTGGTGTCCAGTTTGCGATGCCCAGTAGGCAGCTGGTGATGTGGGCTGGAGCTCATGTGAGATTTTTCTTTATTATAAACTTGACAAACTCAATAAACACGACCATTGCCATATATAAAGAAGCACAGAAAACCAGTATTGTAGACGGCTCAGAAGAGGGTGTATTTTGTGTGGCCGCTCCAGGCTGTCCCGGGACTCTGGATGAGGCTCCTTCTGCCCTTTTCTCTGCTTGGTACAAGTTTTCATGGCCGCTTGCTCTTTCTTTTCTTCTTCGGCTTGGTGATCAGTACTCTCCTCTCCCCACTACCTTATTCGTCCTGTTCTAGAAGCCTCACCGGCTCCCTATTGTTTTCTCTGGCATTTAAGTTGAGCCCTTCTCCCCCTGGCTCCAGCCTGTCTTTTAAGATTGACTCAATGTCAGTTCTCCCTGCGCATGGCCTTCCCCGGGCTTTCAGGTGGGCTGTCTTCCTTCCTCCCTCGGGACTCTTGGAGTCTCTCCCACTCCTTCCTGCCCAGCCTTAGGACCAGCTTCTCCTTACATCCTTTTCTGAGCTGCCAGGACCCCCAGTGGTTACTGCTCATTCTGCCACCCTCCCACCCCCAACTTTGTATATATTTAAATATAATTGTAATGTAGAATGTGAGGAGGATGTAAGCTCCTCAGGGGCAGGGACTGTTTTTGGTGTTTTGTCTTTGAATCCCCAGAAGCTAGCCCAGTGCTAGCACCGAGTAGGTGATTAATAAGCGCCTGCTAATTCGAAGTTGTCCTACTCTGGGGGTGTGTGGGAGACCAGCGGGCCTTACTTTTTCCTGGCTGGATCCAGACTGTGTTGACTCTGGCCTGGGCTCGGTGGGTTCTGTTTCTCTCCAACGTGAATAGTCCTGTTAGATGACCTTGCCAGTTACGCCCCTTGGCACATGATTGCCTCTGGGGTTAGTCTTGGCCTCCCCACTGCCCAGGGCCTCTCCAGGCTTCCTTTTCAAAGGGCTTCTCCAGGTGGTTCCTGCTCTACCCTGTGTACATTTTACTCGACTGCCTCCTTGCACGAACCCTCTGTTTCTTCCATGTTGTGTCCATGGAACTCACCATGCATGTGCTGTCCCTGCCTCGAATGACCTTCTTTCTCTTCCTCACCAAATCCTGTCCATTCCTGGAGGCCAGTCACAGCCTCACCCCTCTTGTGAATGAAACCTGCCCTTTTTCCACACTCTGGCTAGACTGCCTTGTACAGCTATGTTTGGTGTTCTTTAACCTGTCACGGGTGTGAGTCTTACCCCCTAAATGCACCAAGCCGCTGGAAGCTTCTCCTCCCATTCCCCCAAATTGGCATGCTGTCAAGAACGCTGGGACCGAGGAAATGCTTGCTGATTGTTTTAGGAATGAGGTACTTTCCTTTCCAGAGAGAAAGCCGTCTACTTCAGATGGTCAACTAAAGGGAAAAATAGCAGGTGAATTTCAACAAGATTAGGCTCCCTGATGTGCATCCTGGACTCATCTCACCCCTTCACCCTCTGGGGCTCAGCTGTCATAATCTTTGCCTGTTTGCTTTGCAGCAGTTCATCCAATAACTGAATTTTTCCTTCAGCTCTTTGGGTTTGCTAGGGCAGAATCAGTGGAATTTGTAAGTCAGAGTTGCCAAGCAGTCTGGTTGTTCTGTACCAGATAGGACGGTGGATAGAGCCCAGGACCTGGAGTTGGAAAGACCCGAGTGTGAATTTGTCTCAGATGCTTCCTAGCTGTGTGACCTTGGGCAAGTCACTTTACCTTAGCTTGTTTCTGTATCTGTGAAATGGGGATGCTAATTGAATCTACCTCACAGGGCTATTGTGAGTTAGTAAGAAAATTCCTGTTAAGTGCCCTTAATGAGCTATGTAGATACTAGTTATTGTTATTGCTACTACTAGTGTTACTACTACCACCACCACCATCATCACTACGGTACTACTGGTACTACTACTCCTCCTCCTCCTATTATTATTACTGATACTACTGCTGGTACTGTCACTACTGCTGCGGCTACTGCCACTACTGACAGTACTGGTCCTACTACTTCTGTGTCAGATGAAGTGCTTGTTCTGGGTCAGGCACCGGGCTGAGATCTGGGTGTGGGAATGCAGGCCGATGGGCCAGTCCATATTCTTCAGGCGCTGCCCTTTTGATGGGTGAAGGCGACACACCCCAGGCCTTAGAAGCAGGGGAGAAGGGTGATGCTACAAGTGCCTGGTGGGTTTCTCTGCCTCAAGCGATGGACTGACTCCGTGTCGTCTGGGTTCCTGTCTTACAGGTTCAGGAGAACTCTCCGGCTCAGCAGGCCGGCTTGGAGCCGTTCTTTGATTTCATCATCACCATTGGCCATTCGAGGCTGGTGAGTCCAGGGGCAGGCCCTACCCCTCATTCCCCTCCTGGTGGTGGTGGTGAGATGCCCGTGACAGGTCTTCATGCAGGCCCGGGCCTCCCCCTTCTGGGTGGGGGCCCATGGCGGAGGGCGGGGTGGTTTTTCCCGTGGGCCTCAGGATGTGTTAACAGGAAGAAGCTTTGGGGGACCCCTCCCCCTGTCTCTCCCCAACAACAGAACAAGGAGAGCAGCACCCTGAAGGACCTGCTGAAGGCCAACATGGAGAAGCCGGTGAAGCTGGAGGTGTACAGCATCAAGACCCTGAGGGTGCGCGAGGTGGAGGTGGTGCCCAGCAACATGTGGGGAGGCCAGGGCCTGCTGGGGGCCAGTGTGCGCTTCTGCAGCTTCCAGAGGGCCAACGAGCACGTGTGGCACGTTCTGGTAAGCAGGCGGCCCGGTGTGCGCTGCCGGCCCTCGCCCCTCCTGGCCTCCTCCCAGGGCTCCCCAGGGCTGGGGCGGGGGGGGGGTCCTGGCCATACGTACAGAGCCGGCTGTGGCCCAGCCCCTGGCTCGGTCAGCTCGTGGTCACCCACTGACTCCTGATTCACCGCCCAAGAATTCCTGGCTCTTTGGGTTCTGCTGTTCCCACTCAGCAAATCCTCTGCTTAGCTGGACCCCCCTCTGCCATCCAGCACCCCCCGTAGCCTACCCCACTTCACTTCTGCTCTCCTTCCCGATATGGCCCCCTTTTAGCTCCCAGTCACCAGTCCAGGCCAGCACCCACAGCAGGCATCAGGACTGAAGCTGTCCCTGCGGGAACTTCCCTCCTCTGTCCCTGTGGGGGCTCCTCTCCTATATCTCATTCGACCTTCACAACAGCCTTGTGGGGTTGATGTTATTCTTACTCCCTAGTTTTCAACACTCATTTCCATATGCTTTTGAGTTTTAAATTTTTCTCCCCTCTCTCCCCGCTCCTTCCCCAAGAGGGCACGCAATCTGATATAGGCTCTACATATACATTCTTATTATATTCTTATATTTTCACATTAGTCAGGTTGTAAAGAAGAATTAGAACCAATAGGAGGAACCACAAGAAAGAGAAAAAAAAATAAAACAGAAGAAAGAAAAAAGAGCAAATAGTCTGCTTCAATCTGCATTCAAACTCCATAGTTCTTTCTCTGGATGTGGATAGCATTTTCCATCATGAGACTTTTGGAGATGTCTTAGGTCCTTGCATTGCTGAGAAGAGCCAAGTCTGTCAAAGTCAGTCATCACACAATGCGGCTGTTACTGTGTACAATGTTCTCCTGGTTCTGCTCACTTCACTCAGTATCAGTCCATAGAGGTCTTTCCACGTTTTTCTGAAGTCTGCCTGCTCATCATTATAGCACAATAGTATTCCATTAAATACATTCATATACCACAACTTCTTCAGACACTCCCCGATTAATGGGCATCCTCTCAATTTCCAGTTCCTGGCCACCACAAAAAAAGCTGCTATAAATATTTTTGTACATGTGGATCCTTTTCCCATTTGTTTAATCTCTTTGGGATATAGCACTAGAAGTGGTATTGCTGGGTCAAAGGGTATGCACAATTTTATAGCCCTTTGGGCACAGTTCCAAGTTGCTCTCCAAAATGGTTGCATCAGTTCACAACTCCACCAACAACGCGTAAGTGTTCCAATTTTCCCACCTCTTCTCCAGCATTTATCATTTTCCTGTTTTGTCATGTTGGCCAATCTGATAGGTGTGATGTGGTACCTCAGAACTGTTTTAATTTGCATTTCTCTAATCAATAGAGATTTAGAGCACTTTTTCATATGACTATAGCTGGCTTTAATTTCTTCATCTGAGAACTGCCTGTTGATATCCTTTGACCATTTATCAATTGGGGAATGGCTTATATTCTAAAAAATTTGACTTAATTCTCTCTATATTTTAGAAATGAGGCCCTTATCAGAAATACTGGTTGTAAAAATTCTTTCCCTGTTTTCTGCTTCCCTCCTAATCTTGGTTGCATTGGCTTTGTGCAAAAACTTTTCAACTTAATGTAGTCAAAGTTATCCATTTTGCATTTTGTAATGTTCCCTATTCCTTGTTTGGTCATAAATTCTTCTGTTCTCCATAAATCTGACAGGTAAACTATTCCTTGCTCTCCCAGTTTGCTTATAGTATCAGCCTTTATATCTAAATCATGTGCCCATTTTGACTTTATTTTGGTGTATGGTGTAAGATGTTGGTCTATGACTAGTTTCTGCCATTCTCTTTTCCAGTTTTCCCAGAAGTTTTTTTTCAAATAGTGAGTTCTTATCCCAGAAGCTGGGCTCTTTGGGTTTATTCTTACTCCCATTTTACAAAAAGAAACGGAGGCAAACAGACTAGGTGACTTGTTCAGGGGTCACACAGCTTGTAAATGTCTGAGGCAGGATTTGAACACAGATCTTCCGGACTCCAGGTCCACCATTCAGGCGTATCTGAAGTACCACTTAGGGGCCCAACTGCCCTCAGTCCTTCCCACTTCATGAACCAAATGGTCCAAATCATTCTTTTTCAGCATTTTTCTTCTCTTCTGGCTTCTTCCCATCTGGCTGTGAACATGCTCAAGTCTCCAGCTGAGACTCAAGGTAGCCTCAGCCTTGTCATCTGTAAAATGGGGATTGTATTTTCTGTTGTGCCCACCTCATCGAGCTATAGTTGAGGTTTGAATGAAGTAATGTCTGCAGAACACTTTGCACACTTTGGATGTCTCCTATTATGATGATGGTGACTCTTAGCTGTCTCTACAGAGCTGTCCCCTGGCCTTTCTTCCCCCTCCAGCTACTGGCCCATTTCTTCCCTCCCCTAACGGTCTTTTGAAAGAGTTGTCTACACTCCAAACTTCTCCCTAGCCCTGGGGAGATCCTCTTCCAAGCCTAGCACTGCACCAAAACTGCTCGTCCCCCTTTCCCTAATAATTACAACTTTAAAATGTTATCTTGCATTTTCCCCTCACTTTTTTTTTCTCAATAAGAGAATTCTCCCTTGAAACAAAGAAGCAGGAAGGAAGAGGGTGAAAGCCAGCTCAGACCGTAGGTACTCCGGGGTCTTGGTGCAGAGAAGGCGGGACGTGCTTGGACGCCGTCTTCAGCGCCCAGCGTGGTTGCTGTTGACGTGGCTGTGGCTGGTGTGTACTTCCCACCGCTGGTCACTCGTCTTTGCTCAGGGCTTGTGGCTTCTCAAGGGTCCCTTTATGGTTCGCATTCTTACTGGGGTCCTGACACTCATTTACTGCCTTGGGTTAGTTGCTCCCCCATTGGAAGGGCGCCTGGTTTCCCCCAGATCGTATTCAGGTCTGTGGGGACTTTCCTGCAGAGCATTCCTGTACTGACCTCTGGGATCGAAGCTGTGGTCAGTTTAGTTGCTTTCTTCATGCGCCCGCTCTCCGGAATTGTTTGGCTCGTTCTCAGCTCGCCCAGAAGGCCCTCACCTTCTGTCCACCACCCCTCCCGCAGTGACCGTTCCTGTCTCCTCCCTCTCTGTCTGTCTTCCTGTTGGGATGCTGAGCGTCCTTCATCCGGCCATCAACAGTCTGCCTGCCTCTTTGCCACCCCCTCCCCTGCAGTCTCCTGTGTGCCAGGTGCCGAGACTGCCCTCCCTGTGGGGGGGAGACAGCATGGGCTTTCCAGCTCATCGCTTCCCTTTTGGAGCTCGTTTGGGTTAGTGCACTGGAGGCACTGAGGGGATGCCTGTGGTTCTTCTGCCTAGGACGTGGAGCCTTCGTCCCCTGCAGCCCTAGCTGGGCTTCAGCCGTACACCGACTATGTGGTTGGCTCTGACCAGATTCTCCAGGAGGTAAGAGAGTCCTCCCTGCCCCCTGGGCCCCCTGCCAAGGGTCGGGCCCCTTCCCCCGGGGGAGCAGGAGGCAGACTTGGCCTTGACTCCCACTCCTCGGATCGTCTGTGTGCTGGAGGCTGGTTAAGAATCGGTCGGTCCCCCCATCCTGGTCCCTCCTCCCACTCCCCGGGGGTGAAGGAGGGTCCGCCTTGGGGCTGAGGTGTTGATGTGTCCTGCTTTTCACTCAGTCAGAGGACTTCTTCACACTCATTGAGTCCCACGAGGGGAAGCCCTTGAAGCTGATGGTTTATAACTCTGAGACCGACTTGTGCCGTGAGGTGGTCGTGACTCCCAATGGCGCCTGGGGTGGAGAAGGAAGGTACTGTCCTGCTGGGGTCCTTCCAGCCTCGCTGCCAGGGTGGGCAAGGTCTCTGAGAGAGGAATCTTGGCTTATCTCCTTACTTGTTGTCACATGGGGCTGTGTCTGGTCGATAAAGTCACTATGCTCCGATGTCAAGAAGTAGCAGAGACTCCGCTCTTCATCTGACGGACGCCACCAAGTCGCCATCTGCATCTCGTGACTGTCTGGGCTGCCGATTCCCTAGAGAGAGGGGCAGGAGCTGTCTTTTACTTCCCCAGCCTGGGGAGGGGAGGGTAGCGAGGTGCAGAGCCGGGCTGGTGAGAGCCCTCTGGGTCTCCAGAGAGCTCAGCCAAGGGCTGGCATCTTGGCGTGAAGTCTTGATTTGCAAACGCCTCTTCTGGGCAAGTCGTGGGTTCTAAAATCTACACAGGCCATGTGGCTGATTTTTAATGGCACACATTGGACTGAATTAGGGTTTTGGATGTGGCATCAGCCCTGCTGACCAGGTGGGGAGAAGGCCCCGGTCCTAGAGGGAGGGGATGGGGGGACATGGACCGTAGGGAAGAAGTCTTGGATTGCACTGTTTTTCTTGGTGTCCCTCAGTCTAGGATGTGGAATCGGATATGGCTATTTGCACCGAATCCCGACGGTCAGCCTAAAGAAGCCCCTGGACGCTACTCCGCCCGTGGCCCTCCCCACTGAAACCCTGTCATCCAGCCCAGGCCAGGGAGGCTACACAGAGGTAGGAGAAGGGTCTGCCCATGGGGGTCTGTCTGGTCACGTGGGCAGCCACAGGGGCTTCCTTGGGCTTCTCACATTTGAAATGTCAGATGGATATTTTCTGTGGTGCATTGTATCCGTCGCCTGTAGGGTGGACCAACTTGTGTTTCAGAGGGAGGGATGGGAGGGGGGCTTGGAGGACTCACTGCCTTTGGGGTATGGATAGAGTGGCCTGGGAGACAAGAAGGGAGGTGGGGGAATCTCGGATTTTAGATTCGGAGAGTGAGTGAAGAGTTTGGAATGGCCCAAGTTCTCCTGGAGACTGAGGGCTGGCTTTCAGAACCTTCGAAGTCTCTTTCATTTATAGGACTGTTTTGACATACTTTAGGAATACACATTAGCAGTTTATTTTATGATAAGGACACCTCATGTCCTTTTCATTTTTTAAATAAAGTAATAACTGAAATTTATTCATTCTGTGTCCACTTCCTTCTCTGTCTTTTTACTTAAAAAATATCATGAACTTGTTAAACATGGACATGTCCATGCATGACGTTGTAGAGGAAGCCGTGAATCTGTTCCAGCCAGCCTGTCTTTTAAAAGGAGGTATTTAGCACAGCAGTGCCCACACTGCCCTGCAGATCCCGTCTCCTTAGGAATGTCCTTCCTTTTGTATTCTGTATGTGCATGCATTGTGCTCCTGGGTCTGCTCACTCTACGTCCATTCTGTGCTCTTGTTGGCAGTAACGTCCCACGACAGTCACACTCCCAGGTCTGTTCAGGTGTACTCTGGCTGATGGGCATCCCCTCTGCTTACTGTCCTTGGCCGCCACCAAAAACAACACCAGAACTGTTTTTGTACGCTTGGATCCTCTGTCTCTGTCTGTGACTGTCAGGGGAACGGTGTACGTCTCAGTCACGGTATCGCCGGGCCAAAGGGTGTGCCACAATTTAATTTAATTTTGGAGAATAGTTTCAAATTAGTCGCCACATGGGTGGACCACTGGAGCCTGTTGTCACGCAGCCTCTCCAATCACGGTGATTTTCCGTGTTTTTCAGTCTGTGCCAATCTAGTGGGGTGTGATGGAGTCCGAGAGTCTTCCGTTTTAGTCGGCCTTCCTTGAAGTTTCAATGATTTGGGTCGTTCTTCCCGTGGTTGTTGATACTGTCACTCTAGTCTTCTTTTGAGGCTCGCCTGTTCACGTCTTTGACCATTCGTCTTTGGGGAGTGGCTCTTGCTCTTCAGTATTTATATTAGTTCCTTTATATTGTGAATATCAGAACTTTATCAGGAATTTATCGAGAAAAATTCTGTGATTCTGTGTCGATTTTGTTGGTGAAAAACCTTTTAATCCCTTGATACCTTTCAAAAGTATTTTCTGAGGCACTATCTGATTTGGTTCTTCTGCCACCCCAAGAGATAGGTAGGGCAAGTGGGCAAAACTGATTCTACCCAAGTGATTTGCAGGAAGTTATGTGGCAGTGCCAAGGCCTTGGCAGAACCTGAAATGGGGCCTGCGTCTTCTGATGCAAGGCTGGTCTGGTGTTACTGTTACTTGGACTGTGCCTTTGGGATGGGAGGAGATAGAAATGTGGGCAAGGAACATGGAGGAGGGGGTGGGGACTCCCCAGGTGCCCCAGGGAAAGCTGTAGATCCGGCTAGGCTGATGGCCTAGCGCTGGTCACGTGCCGTCCTCTGGCTTCACCTTCTGTCAGTCCTGTCAGCACCGGGTGGCTGTCGTTGTCACAGGCCTTTCTGTGAGGGCTCTCCAGCGTAGGAGAGTCAGGTGAGACCTGAAAGTGCAAGGGGTGGGCCTGGCCTGGCCGTGGGCGGAGGGATGTTCTCCTTGCCTTGTCCGCAGAGGTGGCCTCTGTGACCCACCCAGAAAGGGCTGCTTTCCCTACAAGCCCCTCTGGGGTCTCCCACTGGGCTCCCCTTTGTTGTCTGTGATGGTCACTTTTACACTTGGATGTCTGTTGTTGTTATTGGCCAGGCCTGCTCTGGGGGCTGATGGGGTGGGGGCAGGCGCGTGGGCTAGCGTTCCTTGTGGTCATCGTTGCCTCGGCATTGTTGTTCGCCTCAAGGGACAAAAAAGGGACAGCAGCCCCACAGAGGCCGCCATAGCTGTGGCCCCACCAAGTGGCAAGCGAGACTCACGCTGTCTTGGGTTCTTGGTGTTTTTTAGGCTTCGCTGCAGGCACCAGATTCCCCATTTGATGAGGCCGTGCATGTCCTCGATGTGGACCAGTCCTCAGCCTCAAGCAGGGATGCTTATTCTGTGGAGACGTCGCTTCAGCCACCTCCCCCTGTCCAGCGAGTCATGGACCCAGGTATCCGTAAAGGAGACGACTAGTTCTTCCTTCTTTTGAAAATAGTTTATTGATGTTTTGGCTTTTTATATCACTGCCACTCCCCCCGTAAAGGGAACCCTTTATTATCACAACGCCAGCAACAGGTAGTGAAGCGAAACTGAATGCCGTTAACAGCGTCTGATAGAACATAAGGCATCGTTGTTAGAGAGATAAGGAAGGCAGGCAAATTCTTGAAGAAGGCTCTTCCTTGTGACATCCCTGAAGATGCTGCACCTCAGAGCAGCTTCTGAAAATGAGGAGCATTTCAGATATGGGCCCGTGCGGGAGGGACACTTCTGAGAAAATATTCGGTGGTCGGTAGGCATCCGTCACGCTCGGTCAGTTCTCTTTATCGGCCTCGCTTTTACAGACGGTGGCCTCTCATGGAGGGGTGGAGGTAGGTGGTCGCCTTTCCAGAGCCCTCTTTTAGACCAGCCTGTGACCCGCAGTCCCTGTCACTACTCCACCAGGCTGCCATGTTTATTTTCTCCCTCACTTACCGGGTTTAGAGATGTTCCTGCCCAGCTCTGGGCAGGAGAGGGATGTTGCCGCCTTCTCTTCCATCATGTTCAGTGTCTGTCTTCTCATTCCCAGCAGCTTAGAAGCACTCTCTTTCAGTGTCAGCAGTCCAGATGGACTGCCGTCAGGGCTCGTCACCGAGCTGGAGTGATGAGGCCCAGGCTCCCTCTTCCTTACTGCTGAGTCCCTTAGTCGAGTCTAGATCAATAGGGAAATCAGCCGGTAGCAAAGAATTTCAGCGTTTAGGAGAAAGTGGTTGGGAGGGAGGAGGCCCTCAGAAATGACTAAAGAAAGGTGAAGGCTTGGGAGAAGGCAGGGAAGTCGGAGGGAGGCTTGGGTCCAGTGAGGCCCCGAGTACTTGGATTGGGGGCAGTGTCTCCCATGGGTGTCTGAAGGAGTGTGTCCCTCTTTCTCCCCAGGGTTTCTTGATGTTTCAGGTATTGCCCTTTTGGACACCACTGATGTCACACCCCTGCCCAACACAACTTCCTCTGTCTCCCTCCACTCTTTGGGGGAGTCTGTGATGGGAACTGAGGGTGTCCTCCCCGGCAGAGAGCCACCTGTATACAAAGGTGAGTGACCCCTGGAGCCTGGTAGAGCTACCCAAACTCCAGTCCTTCCTGGTTGATAGGAAAGGGTAGGAATTCTTTAACCAGCCCACAGGCGATGTGGAGGGCCATGCCCATTGGAGGGTATGCTCCTCCCGCCCTGTCCGTGGAACATGGGCCGTGGGCCTGAGCCATGTGCGCTCTCATCCAGTCTGCCCAAACAGCACCCCCAGAATTCTGAGGGCTGCAAGGGACCTCAGTGGCCACAGGTAAAAAAGTTTGCCCAGCTGCAGTTGTGACAAGGAGCCTTTGCTTGAGCCCTTGCCTCCTGAGGCAGCTGCAGTGGGGGGCAGGGTCTTCTAGACCTCCCACTTCAGATGGCCTCTTGGTCCCTTTGACTTCTGGCCCTCTCTGGGGCCAGGCAGAACGAATCTCCTTCCTCTTCTGGGTGACGGCGGTGACTCCAACCCCACGTAGTCCCTTCTCGGCACACAGCTACTCGGTCGATCGTGTCTGGCATGGAGTGAGCATTTTAAGGCCCTTGCCCAGCCTGTGTGTCCTCTGGCTTGCTCTCCACCTGGGGTGCCCAGAACTGTGCTCATGATTGAGCTGACCAGGGTAGAGTAAAGGAGGACTCTTCCTCCCTGGTCCCGAATGCTCCTGGCTCTGTAAGGCTGCCCATGATGGCATCAGCCTTCTAGGCTGCCATGTCACCCTGGGGGCAGCTATTAAGATTGTGGCTCACCAGTCCTCCCGGGTCTTTTTCAGACAGACAGTTCTCTAGCAATATTGTCCCCATCTTGGATTCATGAAGTTAGAGTTTTGGGATTCACATTTGTCCCTAATTAATGTCATCTGATTGAATTTGGCCCAGGATTCTATCTTGCCAAGGTCTTTTTGAATCCTGACTCTGTCACCAGTGTGTTAGCTGTGGTTTCCAGTGCTTTGTCATCTGTGAGCTGCATGAGCGTACCCTTTGCCTTCATCTGGGTCACTGGCTGAAATGTTAAACAGTGTGGCGCCAGCCAGGGATCCCTGGGACCTTCCATCAGAGAGAGAGCGCTGATGACTATTCTTTGGGTCTGGCCTTTCCTCCAGGTCCACTCTGCCTAACTGGCCTCATCGCCTGGTCCACAGCTCTCCCTCTTTTCCACGAGAATTAAATGGAAGGATTCCTATTGAGTGCTTTGCTGAAGTCTAGATCAACTCTACCAAAAGCATCCTTCTCATCTGTGGCGTTAGTCACCCTGTCTGGTAGGGGACACGGTCAGTCTGGCAGGACTTGGTCATCCCTTTTTCCTCTTCTGGATGTTCTCTAACCAATCCCTCTAGTAATAGGTTCTAGAATCTTGGCAGTAAGTAAGAGTCAGGTCCAGCTTCGAGCTTGTAGATGGGACCATTCGCCCTTCTGCAGTTCTTCAGGATGTGTCTGTCCTCCACGAGCTCTGACAGGGTCTGCACTCACACCTGCCCCATCTTCCAGCACCGAGGCTGTTGTTCGCCTGCGACAGAAGCATGAAGACGTCGGGGGCAGCTCAATGCTCTTGCCAGCTGCCTCCTTAGTCGCTTGGTTCTCTTGTACCAGCGGTCATTCTCCTCAGCAGAGAACAGGAGAAACAGGAGCTGAGCTCTTCTCTCCGCTGTCAGTTCTCATCTGTCCACATGCCCAGAGCAGAGCTCCCGTCCCGTCTTGGGGAAGCCTATGTTCCCAGAATATCCCCAAAGAGCCTTTTTTGTTGACCTTCACTCTTGTTCTCAGGCCCAGCTTATTCTGAACTCACTCTCTAGCAAGATGCATATTGGACTGTGCCACCCTGTTGGGTCTACCCAATGATCCTCCCTTGGCTTCTGTCTTCAGTGTCTGCCTCAGGCTCTTTAGACAATTCCTTTCTTTCCTACTTATTGAAGTTGTTATTTGTGTCTTCAGATACTCATTATTGAGAGAGACCCATCCCCTGTGGGCTGACTTAATTTTACTGGAATTACCATCTCTACCATGACCATTCTCAGATCTAGCCCGTCTCTCTGCTGACCTCCAGTCTTGCATCTCTGACTGTCTTTCAGATATCTCAAAATGGATGTCTGGTAGACATCTTAAACTCAACATGTGCAAAACAGAATTTATTATCTTTCCCCCAAATCCCTTTCTCCCCCGCTTCCCTGTTACTGTAGAGGGCAACACCGTCCTCCCATTCCCTTAGCTCCCAATTGAGGAGTGGGCCTGGATTCCTCACCGTGTCCCCCCTGGCCCTTATCCAGTATGGTGGCACGGCCTGTTGATCATACCTCTGGAAACATCTCTCCTCTGACACTGCCACCCCTGTGCAGGCCCTCGTCACCTCATGTGGACGATGGCAGTAGCTGCTGGTGGGTCTGCCTGCTTAGGGTCTCTTCCCACTACAGTGCCTCCTGCACTCAGTTACTAAAGTGATTTTCCTAAAACGCAGGTGTGATCGTGTTACCTGCCGCCTTCCCTGTCCACAGTAAACCCCAGTGGCTCCCTGTTGCCTTTAGGACCAAGTACAAAATGCTTACTGTGGCGTTCAGGGCTCTTCATGACTGCCCCCTTCCAGTCTTCTTACAGCTTCCTTCCCAGCACAGACTGCAGCCCAGTGACCCTGGCTCGGCTCTGGGCATTCTCTCTGGCTGTTCCTGTGCCTGAACCGCTCTCCCTCCTTCACCCCTGACCTTCCCGGCTTTCTTTAAGTCCTGACTAAAACCTCTTCTCCAGGAAGCCTCCCCCACCCCTCTCAATTCTCATGCCTCTGTCTATTAATTATCTCCTGGATGGACCTCGCTTTGTCTGTATTGGTTTGCATGTCTCCCCCATTAGACTGTAAGCTCTTTGAGGACAAGGACTGTCTTCTGGCTCTTTTGGTATACCCAGTGCTTAGCACAGTGCCTGGTCCGTAGTAGGAGCTTAATAAATGTTTATTGACTGATTTTATCTCTAGAATTTTAATCTTGAACCCTTTGAGATCTGCTCTCCCAAATCTTGGGTGCTTGTTAGGCCCTTCCTAGCTTTCTTCTCCACCTCAGTCCTAAATTCTAACATGGTGTGGGGCCTCATGGTTTCCGCCCCGGTAAACAGTTCCTCTGCCCTCCATTGGTGAGAATCAGGTGCAGAATCGAAGTTCCCTTTTCTGGTCCCTGTGCCTTTAGGAAGAAGTTATCATCAGGGCAGATCAAGTCATTGTTGCTGCCATGCTTGGTGTTTTTTCATAGAACAAGCATGTATTTCCTCTTCCTGCCTTCTTCCCAACTGCTGTAGCTGCTCTGGCAGCGATGTTCCCGCGACTGACGCGTCCCAGCTCTGTGCCAGGCCCTGGGGTTGGCACTGGCTGCGATGCCCGAGGAGACTGCGTGCACTCGTCCAGTCTCTGCCTCCGTGGGTCTTCACCTAGTGGTCCTCTGCTCTGCGCCCTCTGAGGATATAGTGCCCACCACCCTTTTCCCGCCTTTGTTTTTTTAATTTAACCATTTCTTTGAGATAAAGATCATCGTTCCTGAGGGTTAAGCCAAGGCCTCCAGTCCCTACTGGGTAGGGGTTTGCCGTGGTGTGTTCTTGGATCTTGTCAGCTTCTGGGCATCTCGGCCCTTCTTCCTCCATTCCAGCCGCTCTCCTTTGGCCTTTGGGGCTTTTTTCTTAGGCAGGGCTAGAAAGAGCCTGGGAGGTTGAATTCACCCACCTTACCTCCTTCTTCTCCCATCGCCCTTTTTTGGGGGGGGAGGTCAGTTTGTGATTGGGGAATGCCTCCAGCGGCATGGGGGATTGCTTGGTTTTTGCCTTTGTTCCTCCAGTGCCTGGCAGTGTGTAGGTGCTTAGCGACCTTGGCCTTCTTAGAAGACTGATGGAAACCACTAGTCTAAGCTGACGTCCGGAGGAACGAAGGTAGGGCGACCTTAGCTGCCGGGGATTCTGACCACGAGGCTCCTCGCACATCGTGGGTGCTGAGCATGTGACTAAGCAGAGAACAACCAGTGCCGTGTCAGAGTTCTGAGGGTCAGTCCCTGAGACTCGGGCCAGAGTCGCTGATGGTGCCCCATCTTTGACCGGCCGACCAGAGCCTGAGGCTTTTCAGGCTGCAGGGCTGTGGTCATGTCTGACCTCTCAGTTAGGATGTCTTTCTTAACTGTTGCCACCCTTCTGTTTATACAGTGTCTTTTGTCTTTTCCTAATTAATTACAAATTCACTATCTTTCAGATGAAGCCACAGGGCTTGGGTCAGACCCTGAGGGCTCTGTCCCGGATGGCTCAGGGCCACATGTGCAGCAGCCGGATTCTTGCTCACCTGTGACCCTTCCCAACGACATCTGCTCCAGCGCAGCGCTCGAGACCGATGAAGCCCCCGACCTCCTCCTGGCCCGGGCCGAGGTGCCGCCTGCTGGGGAGAGCAGGGTGCAAGCCGAATCAGAGGGGGCAGGCACCACCCTCAAGTAACACATCTGCACTGCCGGTCCCTTGCCCCTGGAAGGCTCCCCTTGGCTTCATGTCCTCCCGGATGTCCCCACGCCTGCCTGATCGGATACCAGCGACCTCTGGTGACCACAGTTCTCTCTCTAGATTTGGAGACTGACGGTGTGTACGGTCAGGAGCCTCTGGCTCCCAGGGCTGTCCATAGCTCCAACTTGGCTTCTCTGCTGACCTTTGGAGCCTTGGGCCTTAACACATGGTGAAGGAGACATGGACTTTGTGCAGTCAGAGCCCCTTGACTGAGCTCCTGGATCTCTGGGGTAGGAAAACAAGTGAGATCCTTCCAGGCCCTTCCTGGGAGGCTCCCCTGAGCCAGATAGCAGGGAGCATGAGAAGCCTGGCTTAGCTCTGGTGTCAGCTTTCTTCCATCATTGTGGCTCGGGAGGCAATTCTGAGCAGCTGGCCCACGGGGAAGGGCCTGGACAAGCAAGCAGCAGGTTGCTGATGAGCTGTGGGGCCTTCAGGAGCCACGGGTTTGGGGGGATCCCCAGGCGCCCCAGGGCAAGGATGCCCAGGTGGGACTGTCCTCAGGGGCTGCTCTTGTCTCACAAGGAGGCTTACTGTCATTCGGTCTGGGTCTAGATTGATTATATATAGAGAGTAATAGAGGCAAAGACCCCTGGGGGGGGGATGGGCTACACAGTGCAGTTGTTAGGAGCAGGGAAAGGGGGACCCTGGTGCGGGACGTGGGGTGGGGCTGGCCCACGCTGTCGGGGTGACACCAGTGGGTGTTCTTGGGACATGAAGGATGTAGCGGTGGGATTTGGGGGAGGGCTCAGTCCTCTGTTCTCCCCTGGTCCGAGCAGCACAGCTGAGCCTCATGCCGCCCCCAGTGGCTCATGTTTTTGTGATTCCCACTTCTGGGGCGGACTGTGTGTGGTGATGGTTAACACTAATCTGATGCTGGGTGGGTTCCTTGGCCTTTTGATAAAGATGTTCAATTTGCTGGGGGCTGTGCTTGTTTTCTTCTTTGTTCTCTTGCACAAAATCTAGTGGGGCCCGTGGGTGGGAGGGGAGATGGGAGGGAAACAGGAGGGCAGGGTCCCTGCACTCACCCAGGGCAGAGAAAGCCGGGGGGAGCCTCGGATGCTGAGTGGGCATGGGATGTGGGGAGGAAGATTGGGACAGAGCTGGGCCTCCATAGTGGGAAAGCTCATTTCCAGGGATGAGGCTCAGAGTCAAGGATGAAAAGATGTTCAGGGAAGAGCACAGAGGTGTGGATTTATCCGAGGGGACAGCCTGGCGAGGCTCAACTTAAGTTCATCCTTGTCCAGGGGAGGTCGTCAGGCACTTTGTGGTCCACTCGATGAAGAACGTGGGCTCCGGGTGGTCCAGCTCAAGCTGGCTGCCCGTATGGGGGGCCTCCTGTGATGAAGTCACTTAGCCTCGACCTGCCTCTTACCAGGGCTGGCAAGCTCGGATGAGATCCTGTTTGTCAGAAGCACTTAGCACAGGGCTTACAGGGCACACAGCAGGTGGTTCTTTGCCCCTTCTCCCAAATACTTAATTGCTGTGGGTCCCCAGGCACGTCCCTTTTCATGCCTGGGTCTGGACTCGGTCTTTAGGCTCCCCCAGGCTCTAAGTCAGGGATCCCACGATCTTAGGAATGCACCAAAGAGCAGAGGGGAGAGATTTGAACTTGGTCCTTGCTGCTTGTACGTGACCCTAAACTGAGACAGAATCTTGCCTGCACACTGAGCTACTTAGTGGCAGAATGTGGGCCAGAACCCATTTCTTTCCTGGTTTCTGATCTCACCTCTCACTGTCACTAGCTGTATGGGTGTGGTGAGTCTCGGTAAGAAGGGGGTATGGACCACCACCTTGGGTGACGCTGCCGTGAACACCTGCGACCCTCCAACGCTCTTGCTGCTTCTGACTGAAGGTGACCCCCCCCCCCCAAGACACTTCTGTGTGGAGATTTTGGGGAGGGGGAGAATGATCTTTTTTGATTCACATGGTACAGCTACGTGTTGGTCACTGCTGCCCGCCTCCCCAGGGCCCACCTTAGCCTCTGGCCTTGGCACAGGCCCCCCAAGGACACTCCATGGGAATGTGGTCACAGCCTAGATCGCTGTTGCCATCAGCCACAGATGCACCACTTCCACATTCGTGAACTGACATTCCTTCATCTGATCGCCATCTGTTGTTGTTCTGCCTGGCGGCCCCAGACTCTGCTCTTCATTCTCCCCGTGACCTCCAGTCTCTTCACTCGCTGCTTGCCTGGGTACACTCCTTGTCTCCGCCAGCGGATCGCACCCCGCCTCTCTCATCCACACCGTCAGTGGTCTTCAGTCTCTCTCAGTTTGCTGGCTCTTCCCATCTCCCCCACGTTTGGACGACCTTCACTTGCACCCCCCCTTTGTCCCCCAGACCCTCCCCCTTTGGTGGCTAACCTCCTGAAGACCACTTCCTCTCCTTTCCTTCTCTGCAGGTGCTTCTGGCCTCATCACTGATCCCCCGTTACTAGTGGTCTCAGTCCTCATCCTTTCAGACCTCTCGGTGATCCTGCATCACCTTCTTCTCCATAGGTTTTGGTGACACTCTTGTCTCCTGGCTGTCTTGCCTCTTGAGTTTCCTTTGGTGTCTCTCCCTCCATACTTTCTCACGATGCCCAGGGATTCAAGCATCGTTTCTGTGCCAATGACTTTCAGATCTCTCTGTCCTGCCCTAATCTCTGCTGACCTCCATTCTGGCATCTCCAGTAGACATGTCACAAACTGAGCTCATCTTCCTTCAGAAGCTGCCCCCTGCCTCCCTTCCCTATTACTGTCCAAGGAAGGCATCACCAGCCTCTTCGTCACCCAGACTCGCAGCCTCATCGTTGCCCCCCATGCCATCCATCATCAGATCCTGATGATGCTAGCTTAAACCTCAAACTCAGCCCCTTTGGTCCTCCAACCCTGCCCCCTCATCACTTCGCCCCTGGCGCCTCAAGTCTCTCCTGCCTCTATTCCGACCTTCCTTTACTCGGTGGCCAAAGTGTCAGGTCTCACCGTGCCGCCTTCCCATTCTCCCTGTTACCTCGAGGATCAGATAGAACATCCCTTCACAACCCAGCCCCTGCCTCCCTTTCCAGGCCCGTCCGCATACTCTGGGATCCAGTGACGCCGCTGTCCTGGCTGTTGCCCAAACAAGACCCTACATCTTTCTCAGATCTCGGCTAAGATCCCATTCACACCAGAAGCCTCTCCCGGTCCCCTCAGTGCTAGTGCTTTCCCTCTGTGGGTTCTCTCTCATCTGTCTGTCGCTCATTTGCACACGGCTGTTTGCACATAGCCGGTTGCATGGGGTCTCCCCCATTCTGTCACTGGGCTGAACACAATTCCTGGCACACAGTTAAGTACTTAAAAAAAACAACTCATCTTTACTTTTGTCAGTTCCTCACATCCTACAACCTCCCTCCCCCTTTTAAATTTAACTGCCCTTATCAACAGATGCCAGATAATTCTAGCACCAACCTGAAATCAGGGAACTTAAAAAACACAAAAAATATTTAAAGGGGAAAACGAAGACAGTAAGTTAAAATAAATGCAACACAAATTTGAAATATTTTAACTAAAGCCTTTTATTCTATACAACTGTGAAATACAGATTATTTACCCTTTTGGCATTGCAGACTCTGTCAAACTTTCCTGAAATTGCATTACTGAGTTGGTTAGAAGGAAAAGGAAGGGAGGGAGGGAGGGAGGGGAATGAAAGAGAACCCTGGCGGAATTTAGGTCCATGAAAGTAAAGAGGAAGCAGTGGCTGTAAGACTTGGGCACCCACAGGACCTGGAAGAACTCCCTTCCATCAGAAGAGCGGTCCCTCCTGCCAAGAGGATTTAGGATCAGGAGCCAACTGATGACTTCCCATGGCATTTATTTTTTCTGTTTAATTCACCAACATTGCTAAGAATGTGCCACCATGGCACACGAGGCATCACACTGAAAACCCCCCCCAACCAGTTTTCTCTGAAGGCAGGAGCACGTCCAAGTGGCCTGGAGAGGGAGCACGGTGTGTCTGTTTGGCTCCTGCGAGGGCAGGAGGCATGAACTGGCTGCTTTCCAAATGAAGCCTGATGGGAGTGAGACAGCCCAGTCCCTTGCAAGAGTGTGAACCGGCACCTTGTGGCCCCCTGGCTGCCCCACCCCCTCCCCCACAGGAGGGGTGGGGGCAAGGCCAGGAACAAACCACCCTCCAAAGGCACTTGTGCTTCTGGCTTGGGGCAGTTCTCGGGGTGGACCTTGGATCTGTTCTGCATACAAACAGCCTTTGGGGAGAAGCCAAAGTTTCATTTTTTTTCCCTGCCAAAAGTTGAAATGTTTTTTCCCCCAATAAGTTAAACTCTATACAAGACCCAGATGACTGACCGTATGAAAGCTTTAGATCATTAGAAAGAACAGTGAAAAGAAGATCTAGGCATAACAACGAAAAAATGCATATAAAACTTTGGAAAAACAAGTAACTACTTTCAGATTATGAACATCAAATTGATCTGCTATGATATTTTTCTTTACTCTGACATAAATTCTAGGTGACATTTAAATGAAGCTAAAATTTCAGAATGCTCTTAAGTTGTAACAAAGTTAGGGTTTCCACCTGGAGTTATGACCTGAATTTCAGCTGGCATGAGTTACAACTGGACACGGTGCAGGAAGGAAGAAACAAGACGGCTAAGTTTTAATTGGCTCCTGCTGAAAAGTGTGTTGACTCCATTATGAGGCCCAGTATCGCTGATCTGACCCTGCAACCGTGTTTCCTGAGTGTTCTGACTCAGGATTTCTGAATTCTAATAGCTCTTTCTACAAGAACACATCTGAAGTACAGTATTAAAAAACAAGCCTAATATTGACCCTCCATTTTGTAATTACACAGACTGCCCTCAAGGGTGCAATGGTGTTTCCCCCATTTTCAAAAAAAGATCTTGTCTTTGAATAGTGAAAATGATTTGATTTTTTTGGATGACCAGCTTGAAAGGTCATCACAGGTGCTCTCTGAATGGAATGTGCTTAAAAAAAAAAAAAAGACAAGACATCGTGCAGGTCTGAATTACATTTAGAACACAGTGACAGATATGGCCCAAGGTCTCCTAACAAGCATGAAGAGACGGAGATGAGTCCTTGGAAAGGAAAGGGAGAAGCAGTCTGCCCTGGCCTGGTGGGCGCTCTCTGCACCCCTCCCTCCACCTGTGCAAGCTGCCTCCCTTGGGACAGACTGGAGTCTAGGCCGCAAAGACCGTGTTTCTATATTACATCTCTATTAGTCACTTCAGGTAAAAGGGGTAATGTCGGTCCGTGCTGAATCGATCGTTAGAAGTCTCGCTACTGTGGGGGGTTCAGTGGGCTTCACTAGGTAGTACTACTCTCAGGACCACAAGAGGAAGGTCAGTATATGGATACCCAGGAGTGTTTGCCCTCATGGCCTCACGTGGACTTCTGGCGGTAATGGAGGGTGAGGTCACCGCCGCTCTTCCATATGAAGTGTTTTACCGTTCGAAGGTCCATATTTGGGTCCAAAACCTGAAAAGAATGAAACGCTGTTGAACCTGGGTGCCTGGCTCTCCTGGGCAGGGGGTGGGAGATTGGCATCAGGGAAGATGGTGGCTGCTTGGGCACGGCCAGGCCCTCCTCATCTGTGTGTCCCACAATACCCAGTACGGTGCCCTGACACATAATTAACGTTGGCTGAGGCAGGGGGGCGCCTGTTTGGTTCTGTCTTCATGACGATGGAAGAGTGCGCTCTGCAGTGGCACCGAACCTTCACCCTAACCCTAGGCATCACTGCTCGAGGGCTAGAGGTGCCAGAGGCTCCCAAGGGAGGCTGCCAGTGAGCTCACCGCCACACTCGAGTGCCCTTAGGCTGCAAGGGACAGGAAAATTCAGAGCAAAGGCAGCCCAGAGGGCACCCTGGCCAAACCAACCTCAGCCGCCTGCTCACTTCCCTGTGCTTGTCAATGGCACTGCCATTCACCCAGTCACTCATGCATAAAAACCCTGGATTTCTTCCCCCGACCAAGAGACAGGACAGGAGGAAAGGAAACAAGCATTTATTAAGCACCTAGGATGTACCAGGCACGGTGCTAAGCCCTTTAAAAACGGCATCTCATTTCATCCTCACAACAACCCTGGGAGGTAGATGCTATTATTATCCCAGTTGTACAGGTGAGGAAACTGAGGCAAACAGCCATTAAGTGACTTTCTCAGGGTTGTACAGCTAGCGAGTGTGTGAGGCTGGATCAGGACCCAGGACTTCTGGCTCTCGGCCCCTGCTCTATCTATCTACTGCACTGTCCAACTGCCTCGGAGATTCCTCCTCTCTCTGAGCAATCTCCTGCCTCCAGCATCCTTCACACCCATCAAATGTCTTTCACTGACTCCCCAATAAACCAGATTCCTTATCGCACTTGGAGGGAGGTGAGGAGTCCGGAGGCCCTCTGCTCCCACCACACCCAACACGAAGCTCTCAACAGTTTAGACACCCGAGGTCCCCTTACCTGCCTGTGCCCTCAGCCCCCTTGAGGCCCAAACACACCTGTCTTGTTTCCCTGGATCCTAAATTTGCCTTTTCAGCCCCTGAACCAGTTTTTAAAATCTCCTCCCCACCAACACTGAAGAGCAACCCCCTCATGGCGGGCACTCATCCTGCTGGCCACGGTGTCCTGCAGGGCAGGCCTGTTGGGGTTGGCAGCAGGGGTCAGTTCACAAAGATGTCTTAACCTGAGCCCCCAGGTCCCAGGATCTGCCATCTCTTTCTATCTCTCCCATGGGAAAGGCCCAGACTGAGGTCCTCACGTCAACTCACTTGGTCCTGGCACAAAAGTTCAATTTTCTCCTCTGCCAGCACAGCGATGTCCTCTTCTTTCTCCTGTTCTCCAGTTTTTTCATTATTTGACGAGCTGGTGGTCTGAGATTCACTGTCCAAATTTATGATTTTCTCGTAAACATGCTCCATCACCTTCCTGACTTGGAGCATGTCACTGGCAGACAGTCTATCTCTGGGAAGGGGAAGGGAAAGGTCATGTTGTCAGAAAGGTGAAAGGCAAAGAGAAAATTCATTTTCTACCAATCAGTTTTTGGGGGGCCTGGCTCCGGGAAAGGCAGACACCAGCAGAGAGGGAGGTCTTCCAAGGACTTTCCCAGGGGTCTCTGCTAAGACTAGCGTACTGCCTTTTTGGGCTGTCTGTGATCTCATACAATTCACCCTCAAATGGACAACATGGGGGGATGGGCTGCTGGATCTCAAAGTCTTTGGGAGTGACCTCCTTTATATCATGGCTTTGGCTAAAAATTGACCATCAGGGCACAATGAGGAACCCCAACCCAGATTACTCTAGAAGAGACCCATAACTTCCAGGTTTCTAAGGGCAGCCTTCTTTTCTCTGACCACAAAACATTAGCCTGTCCCAGCTAACAGGACTTAGGAACACAAAAGGCCCAACACTTCACTTACTTCTTTAAGGTTTTTGCCCCTGAAGATGAGTGAGGTTGGAGGTAGAAGGGAATTTTGTTGAATTTGGGCATATTTTTCTGAAAGAAAATATGATATTCATTACAATTATATAGTAATTAGTATAAAAGAGAAAGCTACCTTGAAGCACAGATTAAACTCATGGTTTTTAATTAAAATTTATTTTACAATTTGATATGATTTTCTCATAACAAAGTACCAGACCCCATAAATAGCCTTGAAAAAATTCATCAGAAAAATGCAGTTCATATTGGAATCGGAACAAAACCATGAAGTACTCCAATGGAAAGCACATGATAACATGAAAGGTATAAACACTTTTCTCCTCCGATACATACGACAGTCTCTCAGAGTCCTTTAAAAAATCCCCACAATGTACATCTTAGGTCATCTCAAAAAGGAAGCATCTTTTGTGACTGAGGCTCCTCCGTCCTGGAGGGTCCCCCAGTGAGACAAGAAGCCCCCATGACTCCCTCTGCTCTCTTCCTCCTCTCTAAGCAGCAGCAAGGCCCAGGGAAAGGAGCCTGCTCCCCTCTCCCCTTCCACGCAAGGTGGACAGTGTCCTTGTGCTGATGACCTCCTCACAAGGTGCTGCTATGAGCAAAGTGCTTCTAGGTGCCGACGGCTCTTGTGACTGTCTCTGAACAAGATGGTGGACCCCCGCTGGTGCGGGACATGAAGCGGAGAGGTGCCTTCCACTCTGCAGATGTCTGGGCGCTGTAAGCCAAATGCCCACACGCAGGACCTGAACCGTGCCCTTTGTCTTCGGGCCTCTCAACTGGGTGGACAAAGCCCGAGCCCCACGCAGTGCCCTCTGGTGTCCTCCTCCCAAGGAGTCGACCACAGGCCTAGAAGCAGCAGGAAAGCTGTCCCTTCGGGGCGGCTCCCATACACAGAGAGGAGACAATAGCTGTTGAGAGCCGACATGGCTTTTTAAGGCTTGGGGGGCTTCTCGGGGGGCTGGTAATGTGCTTTTTAAAAGTTGTTAAGAGATTAAATTCCATTCTGGTCCTGCCAAGAGGGAAGGTTGGCCCTCTGCAGGCCTGAAGTCACCATTACAATGAATGCTCTTGGCTATTCAAGCCCTGAGCGGGCTTTCATTTCTTTCCTCAGTGTTCTTTAAGAGGACAAAGCAGAGAAGAGGCAGACACTTACATCCACAGTGATGTCAATCACCCACTGGGGCACTGTCTCGTTAAGCAGCATTGACTCAGTCTCCCCTCCGGAATCCCGACACAGCAACCTACAGACATACAGAGCAGCAGAGAGCCCAGTGACCCACTGGCCACGCAGGAACCCAGAAACACAGTATCCCCTGCTGACCCCTGACATGGGCACCCCCTCCAGGCCTCTGGGGTTGCAGCAGCAACAGGCCTTGGGCCTTGGGCTGGGAAACAGAGCCTTGAGGAGCGCTCACAAAGCCTACCAAGCTGCATCTCTCAGAGGAAGGCACAGCCTCTTTCTTCCTAAGGGCCCCACTGGCCATCTGGGTAATTTACAGAGACAGGCCCTCTCCCAACTCCATCCCAGCCCCCACCAGTCTGCTGAGCTCATGCCCAAGCCCAGGCCCCAGGCAGACCCCATCAACCTGGGATGAGGCCTCCTCGCCATGGACGGGTGGAGCCTCCTACTCAAAGAGGGGGCCCAGGGCAGACATCACCTTATTTCTTACCTGGCTGTACTGCTCTGGGGCTCCTTGGACTCTTCCCCCAGGCCCTCGTGTCAGGGATGTTCCTTGTCGCCCCCTCCCCCACAACCTTTAAACTCTTTTGGGTGTGCTGTCTTTCCCTATTAGACTGTATGTTCCCTGAGGGCAGGGAATGTCGGTTTTTGTATCTGTATTCCCAGTATTATTTGCACAGTGCCTGGCACACAGCAGGTACTTAATGTTCGCTGACTACTGACTATTCCGTCTCTGTGATGTGAGGACAGGACAGGTGGGAGCTCCTGAGGTTGCGGTCCCTATATTCCAGCATGCTAACTAGAACCCAGCCACACGTGAACGAGCATCTTCCTAAGCGGTTCCTCAGCTCCCACTGCTCACTCCCAATGTACCTGACTCCTGGCCCCACCCGGCCCTCCAAGTCAGACTCTACCTGAACAGGGTACGGCCACCAGCTTCGCCAAAGATCACTGGAGTGTGTGGAGGGACCTGGAAGTAGCCATTCCCCTTCTGGACTCGATTCTCCTGCTCGCCATTCACTGTGGGAAGATGCACATGAAATCCACAGTCAGGTCTGCAGTTGTCCTGTCTTGTCCCAGGCAACTATGGGAGCCTCTTAACAACCAAAGTCAAAAAGCTCCAGCATCAGAAACACAGGGAAGAGCCAACTAAAGCCTAGTTTGGGGGAACAAGAAAGTCAGGCATTCTGGGAAAGTTAAGCATCCCTCAGAATGCGCCTCCCTTGAGAGGGGCCAAACCAAAGGGGCAGGGGCTCCCTCCCTCCCCCTCCCCATGCAGCAGCAGCAGTGGCAGTGGCTCTGCCCCTTGGAGCCTTGCTCAGTTACCACTCCCAGCTGCTATGAGCCCAGGGAAGGACCTGAACCCAGAACAGCCTAACTCTATTCTACCACATCTGCCTCTTGGAGAAAGTGATGAAATATAATGTTCTGAGTGCTGAAGTGGCAATGTCAATAGCTGTCGCTTGACAGGCCTGAAGCAAGACTGACCAGCTATGGGACTGCCCACAGCCCCTGTTTCTGTCTCTGCCGAATGTGCGAGGTGAGAAGAGGCCATTGCTGAGAGGAACACTCTGAGGACTCCACCCTGCTCTCCCCACTCAGTCTCACCCCCCAGCCTCACGTGTCCTGGTCTTGCAATCTCCCTGGCACCATCGTCCTGGCGCACTGGAGCCCCCTGGCTTCCCCACGAGCCCCACTCATTTCAGATTTCTTCCTGCTATTCTCCCGGGTTGGGTCAAGAGATGGGGGCAGCTTGCTCCTTGCTCCCATGGTCATTTCCCTGGCCCTGGTCTGCTGTCTTTCCTCGACAGCCTCACCCTTCCCAAGTCCATAACCCTTTCCTAATCTTTTTCATGGACATTTACTGACCTTGTGCCATTCTCCAGACTAGATGGCTGAGTGGCCCAGTGGACAGAGTGAAGAACCTGGAGTCAGGAAGATCCGAGTTCAAATCCAGACTCAGACACTTACTGTGTGACCCTGGGCAAGTCACTTCACCTCTGTCTGCCTCAGTTTCCTCAACTGTAAAATGTGGATAATAACAGCGCCTCCCTCCTCTAGGGTGGTTGTGAAGATCAAATGAAGTATCTGGCACATAGTATGTGCTCCATGAATGCTTCTTCCCTTCAAACCTGCCCTTGCTTTTAACTTGGCTCTCTCTGTTGAATAAAACCCCGTGAATAATTGGGAGGTGGTCCCTTAAGCAACAAGATGGTAGACTAGATATTTCCTCCAGTCCCTGCAACCTCCCAAACTTCTTCAAAACAGAAATTATGTACCAAAGATAAAAGCAACTTCAGCTGTCTCCATGGTCTAGGATACTGGGAATCCAAAAGAAAACTAAAAGCCCAGACCTGATGCTCACTGACCTTGCATTCACTCAGCTCCACTGCACCAGCAGACCCAAGGACATGACACAGGCTTACATCAAAGCCTGCCCCTGCACCCCAGCCCCCCCCCCTCTTCCCAGTGCCATGGAGCCCCCTGCTTGCTCCAGGCTGCAGAAATCTGCCTCGGCCTCAATAGCCAGTGTGGCCACACGGAGCAAAAGCCTGCTTCTGACTGCAACCCGGAAGTACCAACGCTGCCAAGCAAGCTCTGCCCATGCCAGAACTAAGGATCGGGGGGAGGGGACAGGTCACCAGGACAGGATACTGTGTGTGTGGGCAGTTAGGCAACACTTCACCATGACAGAAAGAGCGGAGCACCCGGCTGGGGCCACTTCTGGCCACCCAAAAGTCAGCTGGGGCAGAGACCTAGGCCAGTAAACCATGAAATGCCCATTGTGGGCAGAGGCTGAGATACTTTGAGAGCTAATCCCCAAGGAAACCACCATCAGAGGGGAGGGAGTCAGGAAGTGAGTGATGAAGAAAATAAGGGGAGGAAAAAAAAGAAAGTGCTTATGATTTCAGAAAGTAGAAAACTCAAAGACCTTGAAGATAAACAGAAAAAATCAAAAGGAAAAACAGTAACAGCAGAAGGAAATATGGCCTCCAGATGTAGTAAGAGACCTCGGGCATCTACGAATCAATACTGTAGAATAAAGGAATGATCAGGAATTCGAGGAGAACATGGAACCACGACACACTGTTCCTGAGTGATTTAAAAGAGGAATGAGAAGCATGAGAACAGCCCTTACGGCCTGCACAGCAAACACAGTGAACAGAACAGAACAACATGAATCTGCAGCAGCCTCCCCAAAAGAAACAAAGAGAGAACAACAGACTGAAAATGCAAACACACAGAAATGAAGGACAGCCCGGAAAAAGAGAGGCGAAAACGAGATCATTAAAAGAAAATCTATTCACAATGCAGCAAACCCTCAAAGACAATCTAAGGATTGCAGGGCTCCTAGGAGAACCTGATAGGACAAAAAACCTAAACCCCATAATGAAAGGAATAATACAAGAGAATGCCCAGAACCTCTGAACACAGCGAATGAAATTCTAATGGAAAGAATTCACAGATCACCTCGAGAAAAAAAACCCAAGGCTGCAAACTCCAAGACAAACAGTGGTTAAATTTAACAGCTCAGTTCTGAAACAAGAAGTTCTGCAAGCCATGAGGAGAAAGACCTTTAAATACCAAGGAAAGGACATCAGAATAATGTAGGACGATTCCACAACCACTAGAAAACATAGGGGGCAATGGAATCATGTGTTCTGAAGAGTCCGGGAGCTCAAGATGCAGCCCAGGGTGACCTGTCCTGCAAATGTGAGCTGAGCCATATAGGACAAAAAGATGGACATTCAGACATTCAGTCTGAAACATTTTTAGAAAGGAAAGCTGAACTAAAGAGATTGTTTGCCCCTTGAGCACCCCAAACAACAGAAATGCAGAAGAGTGAATAAATACAGCAGGCAAGGACAGGAAAAGCAGCAGAAGGACAACAGGGAGACCAGGAGATTTGGTGCTTGGAAAGTCCGCTTGTCCTGGGAGGTGGAGAGTTGGAACCCATGGGGGCAACTGGAGGAGTTGGAGAGCATAGATTAGTGATGGGCTACATAATCAAAGACCTGGTGGAAGCGGGGCTCTACCCTGGGTCAGTGTCCTTTCTGACCCCTGCAGTAATTGGCATTGTTCTGGAAGTGAGAAACAATGGAAGAGGGGACTCCAGGGGGGCAAGGCCTATAAGCAGTGGCAGAAAGTACCCAGAGGGGAGAGCCTAGAATGGACACCTTGGAAGCCTTGAGTCTAAGAAGAAAACATAATTGTGGAGGTCACAAATCAGAAAATGAGGGTCTAGCATTAACAGAAAGAGAAGATTGGCAGTAAAGAGGAAGAGAGAAATCCTTTTTGGGAAGGGGAACAAAAAACCATGAAATTTAAAAGCTAATGATCAGGACTAGCTGAAGGGGAGGAGAGGAAGGGGGAATCTACTTGACTAAGAGGGAAAAAGAAGAGGAAGAAACATATAACCAAATAAAAGCAGGAGAGAAAAAGGAACTAATAAAGAAAACCCTAAAGGGAAAGGGATAAAGACCATATGAACAACAACAACAAAATTTTGAAGAGAAGCAGATAACATACCTCTCACAGCTGTGGGTGAGAGACGTATTAATCAAACAAGAGACAGAGGCAATTACAAAAGATAAAACGGATACTTAGGTTACACGAAGCTGAAAAGCTTCCACACAGACAAAGTTAATGCACCCAGGATAGGAAGGAAAGTATCTGAACGGGGTAAAAACCTTTGTAGCAAATTTCTCTGGCAAGGGTTTGGTATCTAAGATATTCCCCAACAGAGAAATGGTCAAAAGATATGAATAAACAGCTCTCAAAAGAAGGTGTGAAGTATTTACAGCCACGGAAGAAAATGCTCCAAATCAACAGGAATAAGAGAAATGCAAATCAAAGCAACCCGGGAGGTTTCAGCCTGCACACCCGGCAAATTGGCAAAAGTATCAAAAAACGGCAACGGTCAATGCTGGAGGGGTTGTGGGAAGCTAGGCACATTAACACAATGCTGCTGGAGCTGTGACATGGCACAGCCACTTTGGAAAACAATTTGGAATTATGCAAATAAAGTGACTAAGATGTCCAGAGACTCCATTACTGTGTTTATGCTCCAAGGAAGTCATGGATAAGAAGAAAGTTCTCATATACACCTCTCTCTATATATCTATCTCTCTATATAGCAGCACTTGTGATAGCTAAGAACTGGAAACAAAGTAGATGCCCATCAATTGGGGAACAGTGCAATACACTGTAGTACAAGAATACAATGGAATGTTACAGAGCTGAAAGAAAGCATGTCTGTGACGAGTACTGAGAAGCCTGTAAAGACCTATGAACTGATACAGAGGAAAGCAAGCAGAGCCAAAGAAATGCCATACACAGTAACCTCAACAATGTAACCTGGGAGAACAACACACCAAAAATCAAAAGTAGATGTAACAAAGTTACAAAGGTCCATCAGGATACAAATGAAGATACAGGAGAAGACACCCCAACCTGCCCCTTCACGGAGGTGGGAGGCCTGCAGGGGTTACATATTCCACAAGTTTTTGGACTTTTTCAATGTATTGCTCAGTGGTATTTTTTTTTCCTTTCTCAAAAAACAACGAGGGGGAGAGGTACTTGGGATAACTATGGTGAGGTACAAAACAGAAATCATCAAACTCCTGTGGCTCCTTATTGCCCAGGATACAATACAAAATGCTGTTTGGAATTTTTTAAAAACGTGATTGAGAAACAGTTAACAAGATAAAAGTGCAAGAGAAAAAACCAAAAGAAAGCCAAGTCACTGGGGGCCCGGGGAGCCCTTTTGGACTTCTCTCTCCTCCATCTCTAATCACATCCCAAGTTCTGCTGAGTCTCCTTTTGCAAGGTTTCTCAATTCTCATTCCTCCTTTCCACTCCTAGTGTCACCTCCACATTACTTCTTGCCAGGACATCCCCTGTCTCCAACCTCTTCCTTCTCCACTCTGTCTCTTTCGGGACATCACGCCCCTACCCCTTAACAAAACACACGTCTGTCTCTCCTTCATAATCAAACTCCAATCAACTTTTCGTCTTGA